CTGGACTCCAGCTGAGATAACTAAAATGTAAATCCTCGCTCTCCCATTCTGCAGGAAACTGATGCAGGCCAAAGGGAGCTGATGATTCATTCACTTCATATCTCAGAGCCCAACACTGTCCCCAAGAGCAGCACAAGAATTCACCTTGCCACCCACATAAATATTTGATAAAAGTTAAATACAGCCACCTCTGATTGATGCTTCTCCTCATATAAGCACTCCAGTCACAATCTGCATATTGTGGAGCTTTATTAAAGCATCAATTATCTTTAGTGCAAGCGGAGCTACATTAGCAGGACTGCAGTCTGCTCGCTTTGATAAGGTTCGCTCCATTTGTTCATCCACAAAACGGGGATACCAGCAGGCCATGCAGCCCGCAGGTTTTAGCTGTTAAGGAGTCAATACTCATGTCCTCCATGCGTGCACCAGCAACTACAGCATCCTGGATGTCGGGGTTTGTTTCTCAGGAAGTCTGTCACTACAGCCCATGAGAAAATTGCCAGCAGATACCCTCCAGCTATGAAACACAGGCTGAGTTCTGTGGGGTGCTTATGCCTGACTGATTGTGCTCCAGGTACCCAAGCAAAGCGGCCAGAGCTCAGGCTTGCTGCCGAGCTGGTGATGTTCCAAAGCAGCTCAAGTTTTGCTCCTCTCAAGTGCATGCAGGACAGCGGCTTAGAAAATTACAGGAGACCAAGACAGTTTCCATCTGAAGCTGGCCATACGCTAACCCAGCTGCAGGTGCCGTCCACCAGCTCTGAAGAGAAGTTTCCCTCTGTTTTTATCTCTTTTGGCTCTACCCACATGATCCAGTTCTCTCTTTTCAGAGATGCAAGCATGGCCCAGGGACAGGGCTAAGAAACTGCAGAAAAGCAATTCTTTTTATTAACAGACCTAAAATTCCTTCATAAACCACACAAAGATAGGCTCTTGGCTTATTAATAGCAGTAAATTTCCAAGTCCAATAGACTTCAGTTAATGAATATTGATTGTGATAGTGCTGGAGAAGGCTGGTGTCAGTCAAACTGAGATCCTGGAGCCGTCTTTGCCTGAGCAGAGCCGTAAATTACCCGAGAGCTCATTTGTTTTTCAAAACTAGGTACTGGAAAACACAGGGGTTATGGCTGCACTGCAGCTTTCACCAGCTCAGGGCTGGGAAACCACCTTAATGCCAACAGCAGCTGGTCAGCAGGGCTAAGAGCTTTTTTACTGGGTTTTTTTTAAGCACTTGACAGCCTGTGGATCTGGCCCCTTTGGAGCCAAGACAGGACTTCTCAACCCACTCCGTGTTCAGCTCTACACGGAGACGAGCTTACACGTAACCCAGCAGAGCAGCAGTGGACTTGCAGGCGGTCAACATGACAGTCAGGGGATGTGTGTTAGGCAGGTCCCAACACCCCCTTGATACACCTGAATGCCTGGTGTGAAAAGGGAGTTATCTGACACACACAAGCCTCGTTTCTTGGAGGACCGCTGCCAGCCTGCAACCCAGCATGCTTCTGTCCCACTGTGCTGGAAGACGACAGGCACTGGCTGCCCCAGAGCAGAGGTCCCTCCACTGGGGTCAAGCCTGCCCCATGCCTCTGGCTGGCATTTGCGCTTTTCCATCTGTTTACCGATGTAAAGCTACACTTCCCTCTATCCCCCGATGAAGATCTTATGCAAGAATCTAAGCTGATTAACACAAACACCATGGTCATCCGGACCTTTGACTCACAGGATAAACGTCATTGATGAGCAGCTCCATCTTTTACCTTCAGGCTGGGATGACTTTGAATGGCCTTTCAATGAATGAAAGCTCAGGAAAATAAACCAAGGGCAGTCCCCTGCAACCCAGAAAGACCTTATCACTGTCCTCTGGTGGGGGAAGGAGGCAGTGACGGGCTGGGAGACTGGGGGACTACATCAATGTTTTCATAACAGTATCGTTTATGCTCACTGAAATAACCCAACAACAACAAACCCCAGAACAGCCCTCTCCCCTCCTCCCCACATCCGATAAAAATCAAATAATAACAGGAGTGACTTGTGCACTCTCTGCCTGGTACTTCAATCTGGCCTTCCAGTTAATACACACTATGATTAAAGCATCTATAATCTGCAGTCTGTGGAGACCTGTAGAGCAGCAGCAGCAGCGAGTGTGCAGCCTGATAAGGGTTGTTCACTCAGTGCAGATGAAACTTTCAATATTTATAACAGCTGATTTTTTTTCCTGATGCTTCCTATTGAGGGGAGCTGGGTGAAAGTTTAAAGATAAAAGCTTGATGAAAGGCCAGGTGGAATGTTTTTCCAAGGACAAGCAAGGGTTTAAAGCTATCTCCACCTAAGTGCTGGTTTAAGAACGCTGCTTAGGCAAGCGCAGCCTCAAGAGATGAGGGATGAAGTCTCTGGAAGACTTCAAGGCTTGTCTAAAGTGCACCCAGGCTTTAAGCTGTGAGCTCCTCTGAGCTGTCTGCAGCTTGTCTTGTCTGCGCCGAGCACAGCGGGGCTGTGCCTGTGACTGCTAGGCACCATCACGCCAGGTCAGCCGCACACGCTGCAGGTGAAGGGCTAACTGCCAGCTCAGCGCCGCAGTGCGCCGAGATCCGAGAGGACGCTGTGTCGGCCGAACCCTCCGCCTCGATGTCAGCGGGAGCTGCAAGGGTCAGCACACACCGGGCACTGCGGATGTGCTTGAAAAAACGACTGGCACCTTGCTCCAACCGGGTCACCACTACCTGCAGCACACAGTACCTCGGACCCTGGCTGGCGAAACACTGAGGACACTGGTGCCTTCACAGCCTTCCTCCCGGGAAAAGGCAACACCCCCCATTTCCAGTAGCACCCCTTTTCCAGGTGTACTGATTATTTTAGTTCACGGACATTTGGTCTCGGAGATACGAGGCTCTGCCCATGAGGCAGCCGCAGGCAGAAGCTGCTCCTGTCCACTGCTCCCCCCCAGCCCCACCTGCCCCAAGCGCAGGCGGTCCCTGCCTGGGTCGGGAGAGCCCCGGAGGGCCAGCAGAGGCACACAGACCTTGTGCAGCCCTTCACATGCCCTGCTGACAGAAAGATTCTGCTTACCCTCTGTCCACATGTAAGAACCCCAACCAAACTCCCTCATTTTCAACACCACAAGGCCTGGACTTGCCCCATGCCCAAGTGGTTTAATATTTGTGCATTAAAAAAGAATCCTAACACACCTGAGGGTCAAAATTATGAAAGATATAAATGACATTGCCCACCAGTAATTGCAGAAAGGTATAACAGGGCCAACCTGAGCAAAACATGAAAATGCAGAGAAAGGTGAATACATGTATTCATTCATTTCATCTCAAAGATGATACATGCTTCTTTCAAAGGCAGCTGAGCGGTCCTCATTACTATAGCATCAGAGCACTTCAAAACATTTACCAAACACACATATACAATGTACCTATGACATAGGGAGACACAACTTGAGACACCTCAGTTCAGGTTCACCCAAGCCTTGTATTTCAGCTCCAAAACGTAAGTCATCATGTCAGCCACTCTGCCTTCCTACCACAGATACCAGAAGTCAAAGAAAAAAGACTGGCCAGGAAGGAGACAGGATTGCTTCTTCACCAGAGAACAACAAAGACTGAGACTTCTTTTAAGAAAAAGAAAAAAAAAAAAAAAAAAAGAATCCTGACAACATGCCACCTGAAATCAAAAGCATCAGGGTTAAAAAAAAAAAAAAAAAAAAAGAGGTAGAGCTCTGTACTCTGAGGACATGTCCATGGTTTGGGAAGCATGAAGAAAACTGGATGAAGAGAACATAACATTTAGTATCTCCAAGGCAGCTGCAGTTTTCCTTGACTTAAATAGACTTGTCTGACAGAAGTTAGATTTCTTGGCCTCCACTTTCTTGACTCTCTTTTTCTCCTCCACAAAATACGGTTTCAAAATGCGCAAGCAGAGTTAAAGTCTAACGAGGAACATTAAGTTGTTGAAAATGATTATGAAAAAAAAAATCTTGAGTTTATCTGTGTTCTTAATGAGGAGTTTATCTCAAACTTAAAACCTCAGGGGGAAAAAACCCACAACCAATCAGAAAGCATTTCTGCATGACTTCTGGAACCATATGAAAAATCCAAACCACCGAAAGCACCTAGTTATCAGTGGACCAGTTAAAACTTCATTAGCACTCGGATACACGCTGGCCCGAGCTCCTACAACACTTGCAGGCTGCAAGCAAAACTACATCAAGCTGCTTATCACTCTGAAGCAAAAATCAAGGATTAGACCTACCTCCCACTGCACATCAGCTGCCTCCCTAGCTACAGCAGTCACCAGGATTATGCTCATTTCCAAAGCTCATGAGCATTTTGAATTAAGCAACCCTACAGCATGAGATGGATGTACATGAAGGAACATCAGCAACACTTCATAGATGGAATTACTGAGCATCTACGAGTTGCTTTTGACAAATCAGAGCTTTCAGTGCCTCAAAGGTGGGAATGTTGAGACGAGAGCGTAGGAAGCTACACATTCCTCTGAAGACGTGCGTTTAGAAGTGTATATAAAAATATAATTAGAATATCATCAGGTGTTTACAGCTACGTATTGAAGTCACTGGCTACAAACAGGTTGTCAGCTCTAGTATAAAAGACAGACATCTGAAAAATAAGAGCAGCAGTCAGAGACTGCAATTCCCCTCAGTCCCATCAAACGGCAGCACGATGGTCTGCCGCTGCAGTCACCGATCACAGCCAGCACCAGCAGCTTTGGAGAAAAGGGCTGGGATCCCAGTAACAAACAAGTCCAGAAAAGCTTGATCTGAGGAAAAACGCCTCCCAAATATCAGGTCGCAGTATGCAAGTGTGAGAAACAAAGGAGAGCCCATCCATGGCTAGTGGCAGTCGTTGCTGAAGAAGGCAGCACCTTTTTCAAGCAGTCCAGCTGTCATCACATGGAGATGCTTCACAGGCACAACACGTGAGCCGTGTGCGCACCCCTCCGATCAGTCAGTTGTGCAGATGCATTTGTAAGAGATCACATCAATCTAAAGCGAAGTGCTCTGCAAAAAGATCATTTTTCTTCCCAAACAAACCTCGTACTTGCTCAAACTCCAGGGGCACATCAATAGGCTTCTTCTTCACTTCTTTATCAAAAAGCTACAAAGAAAAAAAAAAAAAAAACAGAGGATATTGGCAAAATTCAGTACAAGCTCTTCACCCTTGCAGATACCACTGCTCACTCTCAAGCAGATCACTCTCAAGTAAGAGATCCAGAAAATAAACCTCTTATGTAAAAGCCAGCCCTGTCACCACTGCTGCCTCATGCTCCATTATTTCACAGACACTTTCCAGTTTTTCCCTAGCTCTGCGTAACAAAAAACCAGTCTAGCTCCCTCCCCAGCAGCAAGGTTGATGAACAGGACACAACTATTGCATCCAGGAACCAGCCTCCTTTCCTGTGGTTCCAATCACTCACAAAGGCACAGCAACGCTACCTCATAAGCTGAGAGCTCCAGGAGCCCTGATATGTCATCCTCTATTTCTGACAGCGACTGGTTCAGGACAGCAGCTGCCTTGGCCACATCTGGGTGATAATGGTTTTGCAGAGTCTGCAAGAGCAAGACAAACAGGAGGCAGTCTGTAAGTACAGGGTAACACACTTCCACCTGGATTCCCACACAGGTATCTGCCCCTTTGTTGGTCAGACCTTCAGTGAACATCAAGTCCTGGCAGAAGCAAGTTTTCTGTACTGTGCTACTACAGAGCTTCAAGAAATCCTGATTTCAGCCACCTTTCAAACACACCAGAGGCCCCTCTCACTGGGTTCACATCCAAGACAGACACACTCCTCCCCAGGCCATGCCTACAACGCACGACCCAATTCTGCTACCTCCCGCAGCCCTGATGCCACAGCCCAGCTCCAGCTCTCTGGGCTTCCTGCTCCTGCATAACATTCTTGGTGCTGCTTCAGCCCCTTGCACAAAACCCTGGTAGCATTTAAATCCTGGCATTAACTCCTGGTTTCAGAGCCATCAGGAGTAATTTAGCCAATTTCAACCTTCACACACCAGCCCACAAACGATCCAGGTGAAAGGTGAACGTTACAGTCTTCTCCAGCATTTTTAAACCCATTTCTACAGGATGACCTAGCTGTACCCAATTAATTTCCATCAGTGCTCAGCAAGTTCCTCTCTCCCCTCCAAGGCAAATAAAAAGCCTCACACATTTGCAGCTATCTAGTCTGTTTCTGCTGTTAACTGCACACTTTTCAGCTGCACGGTCAGACGTGTGCTCACAAATCACCCTCCAATTAGCATGTACGATTTCTGCAGTGTATGGAATCCTTTGCCTCTTATGCTAGGATAGAAAAGGATGCAGAGTAATGATCAGCCAGAATCTCAGCTCATTTGCAAGACATATGGCAGCAGATTCTTGTAAGTGGGACTGCTCACTGCCAACATGCGTCAAGGAAGCAGCAAGGGTGGAAGAAACCCATACCAGACGCAGATGTTCCTCTTTAGCCGACATACCCGAATCTCCCAGAGAGAGCTCTGCAAAGCCCTGCTTTCAGATGGCTCCTCTTCCTCCATAATATATGGATCTTCTGACATTTCTAAGGAAATAGAGATACAGAGCTAATGCCTCCTGCATGATGTGCATAACCCCAAAGGGAATACAGAGACCCAGAGCAGTGCTGCAGACAGAGCTGCTCCTTCCCAAGACATCTAGGGTCCAGGAACAAGCTGACACCTCCCAGCACAACCCAACAGTCACTGCTGGCAGCACTACAGAATTGTCTTACTTTTAAAGAGCACAGAAGTAGGGCACAAAGAACTGGAATAGTCTGATGCAAAGGACATCTCGGGCAACTTTGAACAGTCACTACCGATGCTGAACACTGGGCAGTTAAACCACAGAGAGATGAAGTAAAAACTCAAGAGGCTGCTGAGGCCCTAGAGGGGCCACCTACACAAAAACACTACAGGGAAGTTGAGGACATCTCTGGTTTCTGCATTTGGTTTCTTTTTTCTTTTATAGCCTTGAGGTGAATAAGACAAGCTCAGCACCTGGTACAGCTCCCCAAGTCCTTTAGCACTTGGAAGTGGCCTGGATCAGTGTGCCAGGCTCAAGGCAACCTTCACCCGGGAATCACAGAGGCAGAGGAGCCAACTGTGAGGCCCAAGGTCAGAGAGGAGCAATGCAGGCAGGTCTTCACAGTCAGAGAACTTGCAGGAGCAGCCTGCTGGCTTTCCACAACCTCAAGGGACAGAAGGATCCTTCTAAACCTCAGAGCTGGGACCGGACTCTCCCCTCCTCCTTCACAGGAATCCTGCTCTTCATGTTGTCTAAAGGCCTAACACAAAACTCCCCTGCCCACCCTCCCGCTTACCTTCTGGCCCATGAGGTCTGTGTACCAGCACTTTGCACGCAGGGTGCCTCCGAAAGAGGTTACAGATGAAGGGAAGGACCATGAGCAGCGCCTCGGGAGGAGCCGTCAGGGCCAGCCGGGAGAGGCGCTTTATGAACGCTGCCACCAGGTACGCCGGCAGGTGACTGTTGGGGAGGAGACCGCAGAAAGCAGCGTGTCAAAGTCCTAGGAAGTGAGCCAGCAGGCTCACCAACCCAAACAGCATGTCAGGTTAAAGGTCAGCAGGGCTCTTCAGATTTTTTGGGACTATGGCATCAAGAGAAGCTGTAAGGATCTTGGTTTCAAGCAGTAATACAGGGTTTTGTGCGCTCTCTGGAACAACTCTGTGGGCACTTCCATTCAATGCATGAATAATCTCAGAGTCACTCTGTGATTCCATCCAGATGCATGGCACCGCTCCAGGCACCCGCCAAGCCCAGCTCTTGTACATGGTCATGCACATGGCAGTCTTTATTCGGTCCTTTTATAAACTCCTGAGTGCTGGGCCAGGCACCCTTAATTACATTCTTCTAATGTCATTTTGTGGGTTTAATTAATACACAGGCCACGGTGCTCAATTTACATAATACTTCCAGGACTAAAGCAATCACCGCAGCTGTTAATGGGAACATACAGCTGCTGTAAGGTAAACGTGCAGGATAGCTCTATTTTTTATGGTAAACCCACAAATTTCTAACAGCCATCAGCTCATCTGGGCACTTTCTTCAGGTCAGAAGAGCCGGGATGAAAGATGACAATTTTCAGCCGCTCGGCCTTCAGCCCTAGGGTTCGCTACACCTGCAAGGCTCGGCAAAGCCACCCCACAGGACACCACCTGTCAGATCTCATTACTCTCTCCAAAGTACACCATGAATACTAGAGGTTTGATAGCAAGTGCCTAGTGCTGAACTGTAAAGAGTTATTCTTGGTTTATTTCATAACATGATAGCAACTATATGTCCAGCTGCTCATCTAGTTTCTTCCCTGTGTGCAATGAATTGACAACATCAAGACAGACTGTCAAACACTTTATATCTCAATGTTACATGTCTGCAAAAGGTCATGAATTTATCAACAACTTTATGATCAATAAAAAGCCTGCAAATGTTACTTTTCCATATTCATGAAGACAGAAAAATCATCGCTTTCAGCCAAAGTGGAATGCAGATCAAAATACATCCACAGTCACCTGCAGATCAAACTCAGATAACTCACTGCATTTTTACTTTCTGAAACTAGATGGCTGTGTGGCAAATCTTCAAAAACAGCACATGAAAAATTACACAACACTAGAATAACACTCTTGGATTCAGTCTTCTTGGTAAAAACGAATCTCATTCAGTAGGCATGCTGACCACATTATATCTAGTCATGTGGGGGAATATTCAAGAACAGTCTCTGGCCAACAGAAAAGCAGGAGGAAAACACATGAACATACATAATAAAGATGCTACTTACGATGAAGACAAAAACAGATCAGCCAAATGGAAAAAGCGGGCTCGGTACTTCACGTGATATATAGATGGGTCTAAAAGACTGTACAGCTTTTTGTAAAAGTCAGGATATTCCCTGTAAAAAAAAAAAAAAAAAAAAAAGGAAAAAGACAACATCCATTAGTGATGTACAATGGGAGAACACTGTGGTTAAATCTTTCTGTGCTTTCATTACAGACTACCCCAGACAACTGCTGTGCTCTGTTTAGCTTTCTTAGGCTTCTCTCCACAGCTACCACCTGAAAACAAGCTGTAAGGTGAATTTACGGCTCTTGTAGTGCCCAGCCATTTTCAGGATGTGAAGCTATGGCCATTGACTGCAAACGGCACAGGATCCAGTGAAAGGCATACCAGAGACTATGGCTTCACTATGTAATCAGATCAATGGAAATCGATTTTCAAGGGCTGAGCAACCACAGTCTGGAGAAGAGGATATTTAGGATCAGCTGAAAAAAAAAAAAAGGTCAGACTATCAAAAGAGCTCGGCCTTCAAACAGCTGAGCCTCTTGTGCAAAGTTTGGCTTTCCCATGGGGGAATTTTAAAGCCCAAAGATGCGTGGAATTAATTTCAGTTCATTTCTATAAAGATATAAATGCAAAACCCCACGTTCCTTTAAACAAGATGCTCTTTTCACTTACAGATTATGCTGATGAATCAGAATAAATAACCCATTTAAGGCTAGAAGACTGATTGCTCCACCTGTAAGAAAGCAGGCAAGTATCAACATAGTAAGAAAGTATCAGCTTCAACTTGTTTCTATTATAAAACCTCCCCATAAAGAACTCAAAACTAAGACTACCTGAAATTAGAGCCAGACGATGGCTGTAAGGTAACACATTTCATCTAAAACCATCCAGGGGCTCATAAATTACTTACAAAGATTAAGCTGTAGTTTAGAAGAACAGGCTCTGAAGGACTGAGACACAAACACGATGCTCTAATCCCCCAAGAAAGCCACACTGGGGAGGCAAAGGTCTCCTCAGAAAGGACGTTTCTGTAAGAATCTGCCCAACCTGTGTCTGGATGCAGGCCAGTTCACACTAGGTTCCTTAGCTTCATCCCAGCCAAAAGGACATCTATTTCATCACCCAGGCCACGGTGTTGCATCCAGCAGCCCTTCCAAGTCCATACGTACCACACTGCAGAGCCCCACAACCGACAAAAAGCCTGTTTTCACTCACCTATGCCATAGGCCACTGTCAAGAAATCTATCATGAGAGTGGGCTCATTCATGTAAGGCAGGACGGAGTCGTGCAGAATGACAAGAACCTTTTTGTAAAGGCCAGTGGGTAACTGTGAAGGAGAAAAAAATACAGTGAAACAATCGCTGCAGGGAGAACTCGGAGAGCAACAGCAACCCATGCCTGAAAAAGACAGCACATGAGCAAAAGGGAATGTGCCAGGGCAATACAGAACAGCTTGCAGCCACTGTCCCAAATGGGAGAGTTTACAAGTGAGACTTGAGCATTAAATTCATTCAAAGAAGCAGGTGCTCACAACTCGAACTGTTACCACAGCTCAGAGGGGAAAGTCACCAGCAGAAAGGCTTGGGAACCTTCAACTTGTGAACAGAGGTTGTTACGCTGCAGATCATTGCTTACTGGCAGACTTGTTTAGGGTGGGGAAAAAAAAAGGCTGAGAATAAGGAGAAGCAGCAGGCCGTAACATAAGGTCATGCTTCTTGGCAGGAGAACAATCCAGCAGAAATGGTGACTGGGCTGTTCTCATCTGACACTGAAAGCACAGGGGGGTCCCACCAGGAGCTCCATGCAAGGACAGCCACAGCCGCTAATGGTTAGCAACTGGAAAGCAATGCAGATCAGTGGCAGAGGTAACACTCACCTTGTGCTTCAAAAAACTGAGCCACATTTTTTCAAACGCTTGCTTGTGTGCCTTAAAACAGAATTGCAAGCAGTGAGTTAAACACAGCTGCTGTAGATAAAGCTCTATTTTAACTAAACAAAAATTTCAAATCTGAAGCACCAAATGAACAGTTACCTGCAGCTTCGATACTTTCAATTCCTCCCAGTTATCTAAGAAGCAAGAAAAACCAGATATTGAACTTGAAATGGATGTTTAAAAAATTAAGGAGAGCTTTTTTTACTTAGTTCTTTGACACCATAACAATTTGGGCTGAAGTCCTTGTCTTGACACAAGGCCATGACAGACCTCACTGTAGACTGAGAAATGTGGATTCTGTAATACTGTTTAGAATCACTGTGGTCAGACATTTTTCATTAGCAAACAATAATAAAGTCTTTACAGAATAAAAATATTAAACCTGATTTTCCTTTTCATACACAGTTCGTCACGTGGAGCTTACTAACCTTGCTTCACCATGAATTTGACCATGTCGCTCTCTTTGTTTGGCATGTTAATGGGTGAAATGAGGGAAAACACATTCTGCTGGTAAAATGGCAGAGGCCTCTGAGGAAAAAAGCATATAATCAAACATGAAGCAGGTTCCAGAACAGACGGTAAGATGCTAGACTTCAATACTGCCCTATTTCTCAAGCACTGAATATATTTAGGAAAGAAAAAGTAAAGGAAAAATGCTGATGGCTCAGCTACATACTGCTATATTCTCTATTGCTGTCTTGTCCTGGAGTACCACTTGTTTGCCTAACGCAACCAATTCTCTGAACCAATTCTGGTTTAACAAAGCTGGTCGATCCAATCAAAGAAAACAGACAACTTCTGCACTAGAGAGAGGACAGAATCAAAAGTTCTACATGTGCCACTCTAGCTGTAGGGATTTGGGCAAAACAGAAGCTAAAGCCCAGACCGCATTTTGCAAGAACAACAGTATGTGTACTTCCAATTTCAGACTGAAGACAGTCTTAGCATAATTGGCACACACTAAGAAAAAAAAAAAATTAAAAAAAAAAAAAAAATCAACGCCTTCAAGTGAGCACACTCATTTCTCTTGCTTCCAAAGTCTTTCTATTTACCACTAGTCCCTCCCTGCTTCACGCACAAGATACACGTTCCAGAGCAGTTTATCCAAACCCACCTCAACAGTAACAATTCATTACCTCTTTTGTCTTCTGCATGACTTGGCCAATACTCTCGGTGACAGCTTTTGTGACAAAGTACCGAATGTCATCGTATTCCATATATTCTTGAAAACGAGAGATCAGGAGCGAAGCGTCCTCGTTTAAGGGAAGTAAGCCATCAACAACTACCTAATAAAAGGTTTGTAAAGGAAAACAACAAGTCAGTCTCTTACAGTACTGGAGCAGACAGTGAGCTGCGATGGCTGAGGGCGCACCCCTGCCTTTCGAAGGCAGCCAGCAGGGCTGTGCTCTGCTTGCCCAGCGCAACGTTCACAAGCCCTCCTGACCTCCAAGATGGGCTCCTTTTATCAAAGATAATGTCATTTAGAAATGACACGGTGGCCGCACCAGCGGCAGTATCTTCCCTCTCATCTCCCGACCCTTGCAAGGACTCCACAAAACCACCCCAGAACTGGTACCTCATAAGGTACCTCAGGAATCCAGCTTGAATCTGTACAAGGCAGCTGCTCCCACACCTGCAGGTGCCACCACACCAGGGACAGAAGCTCTAGGCCACCACCCTCCGTTCACACTGAAAACCTCCTAGCTTGAAATTTTAACCCTGGAGAAGGTGAGCACATGAGGTTGTGTGTGCCACCTGGTAACTGACAGAGCGAGCTTTTCAGTTCTGCAGCTTACCTTAAGAAGTTCACGAGGAAAAGTTAAACTCCCCTTCCACTCCACTTTGATCAATGGATATTGTGCCTCCAACTCAACAAACTTCATGAGGGTGCAGAGTGAAAATTCCTTTAAAAAAAACCAAACAAACAAACAAACAAAACCCAAGAACTGCCACCTCAACAAGGACACCAGGGGTCCAAAGGAGGCAACTTCTAAAGGATGAAGAACAAACTAAGATGTCCTTCACTGAGAAAGCTGCATGCCTGCTACTGTTAGGCTGGGGAGCAGAGGTGAGCCAGAGCACCAGCAGCGCCGTACAGCACTGCCTGCCCTCCCACACCGACACACTGGAGCGACGATTACCTCTGCACCGCAAGGGACTCCCACGCGAAGTCCCGTCTCAGCAGCAGGCTCAGGACCTACCTTGACCTGGAAGGCATCATGTCCCATCAGCTCGGCCAAGCAGGCCACGCAGTCGTTGTAGCGGTGCCTCATCCATATCTTGTATTTATCCTCAGCGCTGTAGTTATCTGAAGGGTGAAACACGGGGCCGTCCTGAGAGCTCAGACCGGCCGGGACGAACCGCAGGGA